TTTTTTTTTTTTTTTTTGTTTTTAATTTGCGATTTAGATTTTAGAATTCAATTATTTTTGACGCTTTTATTGCTGAAGATTTTCGGTAATTGCTTAGCCATATTTTCTGCTGAAGGAAATATGTATATGCGAAAAAAAAATTTGGATACTTGGTGGATTATCGGAAAAAATTTTCAGAGGCAAGGAACGCCGATTGAGAGGAGTATCGATACCGTGCTATACACCGGGCTCGGGTGCATCCTTTGCGCATCCTAAGCCCCCGTTGTCATCCATTTGTAGCAATAGTCCGATTGTTCATTACGGTCCTTCAGTAGCAAATCGTGTTTCACATAGTACCAGCGTCAACTTGTCTAGGGAAGCTATTCAACGTCGTCTTCTTGATCGTTGGAGTAAGTTACTCGACATTTCATAAAGTCGTAAAACGACAAATTAAGCATTTTGGTTCCTATTCTGATTACTATATATCAGCACTAATGCAAAACGAAGTTAACTGCATCCTGTTACCGAATCAAATCTTCTTAAATGAGGTGTTATTTCGTTGGTGGAAATAGTGGAGTCCAACTTGTTAGTAGAGAAGATGTCGAATGACTTAAATATTAAGATTTACAAAAACCAAGTCTAATAAATGCCATTAGTGGGTTTCAAAGCTGATGGTCATCGTTTTTTCACTCCATTATTTGTAGTCATCTTCAAAGCTGACCACAAGCTTAACAGTGCCTAAATATCTCTTAGTTTTTTTCCATCCTATACCATCTTTTGCTTAATTTTAAAATTTGAAAAGTACCAGTATTTCTGGTCGTTTCTCCTGCATCCGTCAGTTTCTTTTCAGAATTTAATCGTGACACCTTGACGCTTGAAAATTAGTTAAACCTTCGGCTCGTTCTACTGATGTCCAGAACTTCCAGAACTTCAGTTACATTAAAGAGTTATGTGAAGATTAACTTGCTGAACAAACTGTTAGGTCATTAGTGTCAAGTCGCGAAATATAATCAGAGGAAGAAATGAAGTAGCTAACAGTAGTTAACTTGCGTATGGTCTATTGGTGCTGTAGATAGTAATTGAGAGAAAACACGCTTTTGTTCATCTACAGATCGCATCCTTGCAAAATATTCAGCGCCAACTTGTCAAGAAACGTATACGAAGCCACCCAACACAACGATCAGTCAGAATCCACCGGGCACATTGCGGACAAACCAAACGATGCTGGAGGTGATTGCAAGAGGCGGTGCAATGGAGACCTCATCGATACCTGCAACAACCAGCGCTGTTGGCCAGTTTCCAGCAATCTCAAAAAGTTAGTTCTTCACCCTTCCTTCAACCATACGTGCATCGTTTGGTGCAGTCGTTGAAGCCCGATTACTTGGAAGTACCCGTAAATGGTACTTCCAGTTGCTTCGGTTTGTTGTTAATCAGAGTGGTTAAAGCAGGTGCTTTGTTTAGAAGATTCTTTTTATTCAAATATCAATCTTTAAAATTTATGTGGCGAAATACGGTGGGATTTATTTTGAAGCTTTATTATTTCGCATTCGGTAGCAATAGAATTGCTGAAGTCAAAGAGAAAATTGGTGTTTTTTGTTTTTACGTTTTTTTCTTGTTTAAAGGGACTTTATTGTTATTACTATCATTATTATTATTATTATTATTTTTTTT